CAGCGTGCCAAGCAGAATTCTCACAGCTTGATCAGAGTTTCTGAGTTTTCATTTTCAAAACAAAATTACAGAGGCAGATAGTAAGTGGCAGCCTTCTTTTGCAATAAGGAAGATGACACAGAAGAAGCCAATTATACTCATGCAGGTGTTCTTAGCTGTTTGGTGCTAAGGCTGCTTTGCATACACGGGTGCTCTGCAGACCTGCTGGGTCAGCCCTTCCCACTTCATATCTGGCTCGAAACCGTCTCTGTCATTTATACCCCAGTGCTTCCACATGACACATTTGCCATCGATGAGCCCATAAAAAATCCCAGAAGGGAGAATGTATGTGGGAGTCTTTATGCCTTGTAATACCACTTTAAGATCCTGGCATATGGCAGGTCATCCTGGTTTTCCTGGAACTGTTCTAGTTCTCTGTCTTACAGTTCCTGTCCTGGGAACCTCCTTAGTCCCTGACAAGCCAGGACTAATGGTGACCCTACTTACAACTCTGAGATCTTTAGGTTTCTACACTTTATGTGAGGCCTCTTCTCTACCTAGGCTCAATCATGCACCCTCTCTCCTCTCCTTTCCTCTCCATTGGTCTAAGCCAATTTGTCTCTACTATTTTCTCTCCTTAAGCAAACTTGTATAGCTGTGAAGGGAACATGGGAAAAGTCTGACACCCTTGGAAGGAATGAGGATCTTCTAGGGTCAATGAAGGGCTTAATGGTTGGGGGGGGTGTTATTTCAGTGAAGTCATTGAAGTGTGCTATTCCCAAACCAAGATAATAGAAAGAAGCTGCAGACAGATGACCAGAAGCAACTTGGGTGAGCAGGGCAACTTCTCCAAGGCCCAATCAGCTTTGAGTACTGTTTCAGCTGTGACCCGGGTATTAACTCACATGTAACACCGGTGTAAATGAGCTTTAGAGATGCCAGAGTCCAAAGTGAGAGCAGTCACAGGGAAGTGGTAGGATAAAAGCTTACGTGGGTGAACTTTGAACAAAAGACAATTGCCAAACGCCTGCCTAGATTGTATTTTAGGACTTTATCCCCTCAGCTCACTACCCATAAATCAATATTGGCAGCTCAGGTTCAGGTTGCTATGACCAGGCACTGTAGGCGAGGTAGCTGCCACAAGAATGTGTTTCTCAAAGCTTTGGAGAGAGAGAGGTTCAAACTCAAGGCCCAGCAGGTGGCCCTGCTGCTGGGAGAAGACAGCACCACCTCACTGCACCCTTCAGTAGTAGAGAACGATGGAGCCCTTTTCAGGACAGTAAGGCCATCACGAGAACCCCAGCTTCCTGTCGTCATTTACACCTAGCTGTCTCCTCAAGCTCTCTTATCTAAACACCACCACGTTTGGGTCTGGAACTCTAGAACATCAATTCTAGGGGGAGGGTGGGACCCAGCCCAGGCTGTAACACTCTGCCAGTACAGGAGCCCCAGATGCTCCTGTGCTCGAGACTGAGCTGCACTGCAGGCTTGTTCTGCAACCAGTGCTGTGTCCATTGTGATGGGGGACAGTCTGAGTACAATAAGCTTTGTAATGTAGATTATTTTATATTCACACAACTCTAAAGGTTTCACTGAGAGTACCCGTACACCCTTCACCCAGTGACCTATACGGTGGACATCATATATTACCATACTATATTTGTCAAAGCTATAAAACCCTCATGGGCATATTACTTTTAATTGAACCATAGACTTCATTTGAATTTACCAATTTTCCTATAAATGTCCTTTTTATGTTCCAAAATGTGATCCAGGATACCATGCGATGGTTGTTATTATGCCTCTGTGGTTTCCTCTGGTTTATGACGAACTCTCAGTCTCTATTTGTTTCTGATGACCTTGGGAGTTTTTAGGAGTACAGCTCATGTACTTTGTAGAATGTCCTTCACTTTGAGTTTACCTAGTACATACACACACACACACACACACACACACACACACACACACACACGCACCAAAGATTTAAGAATAAATAGAGACTTTCATTCTGCCCTGACCAGGAAACAGCATACCTAAAGCCCCTGTCATGTTTCTATGAAGCAGCATCTACTTTATTTATAAAATTTCTGTAGGTAGATATTATCCCTTTCATTTAAGTCCTTCGAGTAGTGAAAAATCTCTATTTCAGAGGCGAAAGCACAGCACTAGAGCTTAAAAATCTGCATTTCAGTCCTAACTTCATTTATGCTAACTTTGATCTTCGGCAAATCATTTAACTTCTAATGAGTCTTGGCTTATTCTTTGAAGAAAAAGAATAAAACATTGAGTTGATGGTACTGTGGCGAAGATTAAGTAAACTGTGTAAGAAGTCTGATCAAAGGCTGAGGGAAGTGCTTAAGTTTAAATTTTTACTGCAGTTGAAGATATAGCATCATTACCCCTCCCTTAGAATACACACAGCCCAGCACACTTGCCACTTGGGGCAGCCGCTCCGGAGTCCTCTTTCATGGGTGTCTTCAGTTGCGCAGAGATGAGGAAGAAACCTAAATTGTTTAATTTTAGGATCATTAACTTTGGAGAAGAGCCCGCATCCATATGATGCCATGTTCACAAATTCGCCTTTCCATTAGGTGGCTTTCTGCAGGAGCTTTCACTGTCATTTTGTTCGCAGTTCATAAAAGCACCAAGAACAAGGATTTCCAGAACTGCTTCAGAAAGTGGCAAAAACTATGGGACATGTGTGTTCAGAGTGGGGAGCATTTTGAGAAGTTGTGTCATTGATATATGTGTCCTTTACTGTAATAAATTATTTAAATGCAATTAGTCACCCTCTGATCACCCCCTTGCTCCTGAGCTATGATGCAGCACACGTGATGTTCGGTGAACATCAGCACTATTCCTGTACCTTATTCCTTTCTTCTTGGCAGTGTGGCAAAAAGAAAAGGGGTCCTGTATATCCTAGGCAAGCTCTCCCACTGAGTTACACCATCAGCTCTCTTTCAATCTGAGTTTCAGATAGGGTCTCACCAACTCACCCAAACAGACCTCCTGCCTCAGCTCCTGAGCAGGTAGAGTTTCCAGTGTGTGCCACTCCCGGCTCTAACTCGTCCTTTGTGGTCACTCCAGAACTCATCCCTGAGTATCATCTGTCGCCATTTGTACATGATCAGGACGTGTGGAAAACAGACTTCAGCGATTTCAAATCACAGACTCCCATGTGTGTATGTGATTGTTTCTCTTCATATAGAAACAGACCCTGTCTCCCTGATGACAGGAGGAACATGTGACTCCAGCGAACCAAGAGTAGGGCCACTGTTCCCTAGCTTTAGGAACTGGTGCCTGCTCGGCCAATCAGAGGCCTTCCTTAGGACTTTTCCGGTAGAGTTAATAAGAAAGTTCTCTTTCCTTTGCAGTTACAGAGCTGAGCTGCTGTGTGCAGGCTTCCTACCCCAAATCGGACAGCCTGAAAGCATGAAACCAGCATGTGTGAAGAAGCAAATCAGAGAGATGGAGACAAAATCCACTGGACTCAGATCCAGCGATTGCTTTGGTCAGTTCATTCCTACCCTTTCATAGTTCGGTGATTTATGCAAATCAATTAGCCTGTTTCTTTAGGCTACTTTAGGTTATTTTCTTATAAAATGCAGTTGAAATAATCCTTTTAGATTGCTGGTTAAATCCAATCCTAGTGTTTAAACTTGGTGTTGCTCTAACAGAATACCAAGGCTGAGTCCCTTATAGGGAAGGAAGGTTTACTTTGCTTATAGTTCCAGGCATCAAAAGCACAGTGCTGCCATCCACTCGTTTTTGGTTAGTGCTGCGTGTTGCTCTGCGTGTAATGGTAAAGCAAAGGACACGAGTGAGGATGAGGACCACGCAGTGACAGATGTCCCCAAGGGACACTGCCGGGCCCAACCTGTTCTCACAGTAACCATCTCACTCTTAGGAACTCCATGAATCTCGTAGAAGAAACTGCATTCACCTTTGCATGGCTCCCCCATTGCTGCTGACTAACTTCTTCAAGTCCCCAGCGCCTTGAGACTCTGCCGCAGTGGGGTCCAACCCTCAGAGTGAGTTTGGCTGGGCAGGAGCCATACTCAAACCACAACCTGTGCTTTTCTGAGTTTTTCCGCCTGCTGCCACCTGTTCAGGTGCCTTGCTCCTCAGGCCACTATTACTTCCTTTTTTCTGTGGTGGAGTGACAGCCAAGGGACCTTCCTCTTCAGCCCTTTTCTCAACAAGTAATTGCTCAAAGACAGATAGCTAATAAAGGCAGAAAGTACCAGCTGCTCCAGGAGCTGTTCTGTGTGGATGAGCTTGAAAGAAATGAAACCATGGCTAATAAACCATGCTCTGAGTCATGAGAAGACAGACTCAGTCTGCCAGATCTGGAATCTTGTCCTGTCTATGACCTGCTCATTGTGATTTCAGGCAGCCTACTTCCGGGAGCTGCAGGATATCTCAGGTAATAAATGGGAAGAGAATATCCTTCTCAGCCAGCTCTTATGTGGACTCAACAGGACAACCTATGTGAGGATGCCCATAGCACTGCTGCATTGCTGATGCTTAGTTTTATAATACTGGTTATTAATATTGACAATCAAAATGTTCATAAGACATCTGAATTTGTCCATCAGTCACCTGCTCATAAAAATGAGATATTCAAACTTCATGTGCTGAGAGGTGATGTGAAACACAGAAGCTCCCATAAGTGAGAGCTGCTACCAAAAAAATACAAGAGGGATAAATCAAAGGGAGCTCACTTAAGAGAGATACAGCATGTGACAGAGAAGCATGTTAGAGAAACTACCAGGAAGCAGGGAAGTGTACTCAGAACATGCGACATACTAAAAGACAAAGGTCTTGGTTTCTGCAGTGAATCAGAGGGGTAGAACATGGTGGTGGGTAAACTGTAACCAGATTTAGAGCCAGAATCAGAGCCCTCCACACCTGATTCCATTTTGTACCTTAGCTACTGTCAGTATACAACTAGATTTGAAAAACGCATAGAATGTCATCATTCAGAAGTTGATGTGAAGTTTAAATGAGGCAAAGAACAAGGGTATAAAAATTTTTACTCATTTCTCATTTAAGTACTTATGCAGAAAGACACACCGCTTCTCTCCCTTTTCTTACATTCTTCTGATGTTACGGTTTGTATGTAGACGTCCCCCAAAGCCTCATGGGGTAATGGGAAGTTTCCAAGGTTGCTGGCTTAGGATGTGTGAATGTGGACTCATGCTGTGACGCTGGGTCTAAACCACACTGGGTGTGGGTAGCAGCAGTCAGTAGACTTGTGGCCTGAATGAATATAAAGGGAGAGAGGAAAGGTAGACTTGCTGCAGCTTCTGCTCGCTGCTTCACTGCCTTCTGCCTGCTATGCCATGGGCTGTTTCTCCTCTGTGCTGGCCTCTGCCGTGACACCCTGCCTTGCAGCTAGCCAACTATAGACTGAAACCTCTACAAACTGTTAGCTAAATAAACCTTTACAACCTTAATTTTTGAGTATTGGGTATTTTGTCCTGGTAATGAAAAAATAACTAAGACACCCCACGAGTTTTAAGCTTATCGGAAGTTGTTCCTCTCCATTTGTTAAGAATGTTGCTGCATGTTTGGGCGTGAGATGGAAGCATTTATAAAGACAGTAAGAGGGCTCCTCATGTGAGACGGTTCATGATGCAGTGAAAGTCACAGCCACATAATGGGATAAAGCAGAAGCAATGAAACATGATTTAGGATTTGGTGATTTAAGTTAGCTGGGAGGGTCAAAGCCACTTCCCCCGCTCCTTTGTCTTCTTGCTATCTATTCTCCAGGATCAACCTGTGAGAGCAATTTCAACAGACTCTGGTGTCTTCTGGATCCCTACTGAATTTAACTCTCAAAGGACATGGGAGGAAAGAAGAAAAATAGCAGCATAGCTTCTCCCTAAGCCTGGTTTAGTATAGGCTATTTGTCTTAGTTACTTTTTACTCATTGATGAGACAAAATACCTGAACCCCAAAGTTGGGAAAGGAAAGGTTTATTTCTTAAAGTTTTTGGAGGTTTCAGTCCATATTCAGTTGGCTCCAAGGCAGGCTGGCATGGCGGGGCCATAGTTCATGGTGGCTGCAAACAGCAAGCAAAAACTGGCAACAGAGAGAGACACACCTTCTTCCTGGCATTACATTACATCCTGGCTCCACCTCTAGGTGGGTATAGCACTGACACTATCAATCCAAGCACTAGACAATGAACCAATTACAGATGCATAATACAAATGCATGAGGCCTGGGGGCTACCGACACAAACCATGACACTATTCCTGTGACCCTGCTCCTCTCTAGGTGGTCTCTGGACACAATTCTTCCCTTTTCCTTCTGTCTTTACATTTATGGGAGAATAGTCCTTCTGTCTACTAGTCTCAAACTATGTTCTGTCTTTTGAGTGTGGCTTTCTAATGTTGGGTATGGTGTTTTGTTTTGTTTTGTTTTGTTCTTTAGACAGAGGCTCACTGCATAGTCCAGGTTGGCCTGGAACTCCTTATGTAGTGCAAGCTGGCCTCCAACTCATAGCAATCCTCCTGCCTCATTCTCCCAAGTACTGGCATTATAGGTATGTGCCACCATTTTAAGTAAGCCCCTATGTTTTTAAAGTAATCTCCTGTGTTTGGTCATAGGACTACTTTTGAAACCTGGATCAGTCCACAAGGTCTCTTTGGACAAACCTATTCAAGCCTTTGTTTTCTTGTTTACAAAGTGAGATTAAGGGTAATCTTTCCTTCTAGGTCCTGGGCAACTTCAGTTAAGAAAAATCTATAGATTATGCAAAGCGGTAGAAAGGTAGAAAGTCGGAAATGAAACCTAGCTGTTGCCCTTACCAGCTTAATAACCTTGGACATTTTGCAAGTAAACTTTGCCTTTGCAGTTCAGATCCATGGGTAAAAGGGTTACAGCATGTATTTAACAAGAGATACAGGTTTGGCTGAAATCCCAAGTATAGGAACAAAGCGAACTAACCTTGCATCCTGAAGGGAGGAGCTAGTCAGACATTCCACAGGAGAACTTCCAGTCCCTGACTAATCTAAAGCTCCCAATGGCTTGCTTAGACAGGGCTCAGGGAGAAGGAAATTCTTCTAATATGCTTATAATACTGAGAATAGACTTGATTCACTTCACAGGCAGAATAAGAAAATATAGGAACGACCACTCTTAGTTAGAGGATTTGTGGCCAGTGACTGACCAGCAGGCTGGACACCAGCCGCCACGCCCAGATGTAGACACTGATAGAGCCCAAGCCATCCAGAGTGCGGAGCAAAATGAGCTCATGAGAGATCTTAATTATGTCCTGATATCAACAGCAAAGAGACTAATCCTCAATGCTTGCCTCAGGAGACTGAGGCTGGTGGCTCACCAAAACTCCCCATAATGACCAAATAAATATGCGCATTTCACCCTGGCCACTGCTCAAGAATTCCAGAGGCCTTGAAGGGCAGGAGCTGAGAGGTCACAGGTCAGTGCTTAGTCAGGCTCTTCGAAGATCCTGTAGGAATGGCACCACATAGAAGAGCCACCATCTGGATTCTAAGATGCAGAAGGCCTTTAGCAGCCAAGAGACCACCACACTCAGCATCTGCCACCTGCTGTCTCATCCGTCCAGAGTGTGACCTTGGAAAGTCACTCGGAGGTCGGTGAGCGAGTGAAAGGGAAGAGCCTTTGGCAGTTACTGGTACCTGAGCATCCCCAGATGCATGAGCCGGGTAGAGGGGGATGCTTCACACAGGATGTGACATTAAACTTTGACTTAGATTGGACTGGACTTTCTAATACCTGAACGTAATCAGGAAGTTATGAAGTCTCCTCAATCTGCCATCGGGGGAAGGAAAGGCAAATGCAGCTAAGTGAGTCTGAAGGTAGTAAGAAAAAAGTAACACCTCTTCTTGATAGTCTCAACCAGATGTGACCTATTTTGCAGCATTTACCCTGGAGTTTTTTTGTGAAGCAATGCTGAAATACACACAGCATAATATGTTCTAGAATAGCAGTGCATCTTTATTATTATTAAAGTTTTCACTCTATGTGTTGCTTGTATATGTTAATAACCCAGGAAGTGGTCATATTCTACCAGGGTAAATGTAGAAAGTTGGCAGCCCCCAGTGGGCTTCGAGGTCAGGGACCCATTTTTAGGGCCTTCAGGCTCCAGGGTAGCTGTTAGGTTAAGAGCAAAGCACAGGGTCCCCAGTGATCGTGGTGCTAAAGCCTGGTCCAAGAGTCCTCCAGCTGGCCCTCGGCATCCTGACACACAGTTGTCTTCATACTCTTAATGTAGCTTAGGAAATATTTTGAATCTGGCTTCCAAACCCACTTCTAACAAATCCCACTTACCTATGAGTTTCTCTTTCGGGATACCATCTACTTGCTGTTTTGGCCACTGTTACCCTTTCAAAGCAATCCAATTCCTTCCACCAAGATAAGAATCTGGACAACTCTATGTTCTTTTTCAGTGTCATTTTCCCCTTAGTGCTTTTCCTCAACTCTATCAGAGTACAATTATATCCTCAAAAGACAAGTTGATTGAATAATACTTATCTACCTTGTACACATGAGGAAATCCAGGTATTATGGGACTTGCCAAAATTAAGTAGAGTTCTCAGGTTGAGCCTCACTCATTCATAAGTCTTTGAGAAGATTCACTCCTTGCTTTTTCAAAGTTTGGGTGGAGAATTTTGGGTCAACTTGTGAGCATCCATTTGTGGGAGTACATAGAAACTGTCATGTACCCCATGCGATCAATGTTTCTCTTTTTGGATGTACCAGGGTGGGCACAGGAGAGTAGACAGTGCCCAGAGACAGTGATCACCTTTACCCACCCCATGGCTGAGGCTGTGCAGGACTGCATGGACTGGTCTTAGACTGGTCTTAGAGACATCACCTCAGCTGGCACTGCACTTTGGCTGTACCTTGCCATTTCTGAATACTGGTCTTTAAATGACTCTGGCTAAGGGGGCAGAATTGCATAAGTCAAAGAGAAGGGAGGTTTTGGTTTTCCTTTACTGTTCCTCCAAGGTTTTCTTAAAATACATTGTGCATAACTTACACAATAACATTTCAATAAGCCCTTCTGGCTAGAGATTCTTTACTGTGATACTCTGTTGATGGATATGAAAAAATTTCCCTGAAAAATCAGCCCACAGGCGACATGGGTAGAAATAGTGCATAAATATGAAAAAGCTCATGAATGCTGTCCATAGGATTTCCCTGCGATCAATGAACTCCAGGCAAGTTCTGCTCTTCATTAAAATGACAAGGCCACCTCTCTGTCTAGCATGACAGCAGAGCAATAAGTACCAGGCCAATGCAAAGTTGTTCTTTGTCAAGGATTCCAGGAAGAGAGGAAAGATCACTTGGTCAACGTGTTTTGGAAGGTTCCATTTGCAAAATTCTCTATGATGTTTCCCTGTGCATTTTCTCACAGCATTAAAAGATACTTACTAATGTGGAGCATTTCAAGCAAGTTTGCTTGAATCTCACCTTACATTCTTAATTGTGATTTGCATTAACAATAATCACCATAAGGCAAGACCAAGTACCTATCATCACTCGAAGTATTTTACACAAACTTTTTAATAAAGTCTAGTGAGCCCCATGGAGGGAAGTGCTACACACCTTCTGTTTCATGCTCCGTCTTCTAGCTTCCTCCCTCCTTCCACCATCCAGGTGCATGAGGGTGAGGACCACATCCACGGGAGACAGGCACGGACAGTGTCAGCCTGAAGCCTCCTTGTCAAGTCAGCAGCAAGTATCAGGAAGGGACCCAGTCCTAAGACTGGAGAGGGGGCCAGCAGGCCACAAATGAGGGGAGAGACAAATGGAATAAAAGCAGAGGGGTTGATTTCTAATGACCAGAGGAATAAAAGCCAAAGTGTCTGGCTTTACACACTGGAAAAAGTTGGCTGGCAAAGGTGAAAAACTGAAATCATAACTACGCTAGAAATGAACTAGATGAGCGGGTTCCACAAACCCCTGCAGCAAGACCTTTTGCTGGGAACAAGCGCACACAGCAGGGTGGCTGCCCAGCCCCCTTCACAAGGGGAAGGATGCAGCACGCCTTGCTTTAGTAACAGGTCATCTGGTTACTTGTACAACTTGCAGCTTTCTCATCTTCTCTTTTCTCAGGTGGGGCGCTGGAGGCCTGGGCGCTGTTCTGAAACAGTTATGTAGAAATAAACTTGTTCAAATAATGGAAGCAGAAAAACAAGAAAACAATCCTCAAGTGAGGCTACATTTCACTGTGCTGGGTGGTGTCATCAGGTCAGTACGCTACCTTACTTACCGGATGTAGGGTGGCATGGAGTGTGATGGTGCTGTGTGACTAGCAGCCCTGCAACTGTAGGAGTTTCATTTTTACACATCCTGGCTCTGTCTTCCTCAAACGTTGGAAGGATTTGCTGATGAGAGCCATGAGGACCCACTTGTATTACTACAGAAAGGTGTAGAATAATAATTAAAAGGTTCGGACTGAAACTTATGAAACTGACAATCTATCAGGTGCTCAGATTCATTGAGCCAGGAGATTAAGCACAGAGTGGGAGAAAGTTGGTCTTAAATAGCCAGTTTCTCCTATTCCTTGCAAAGCTCCTAATTTAAAGCAGGCGAGTGTTGGTTGATGGCTGACTGCCTTCAGCACCTTCTGCTGCTCCTCCTGATGTGTCTTCACTGAGACCCACCGCCTGCCTCAAGATTGCAGATTTCAAGGCACTTTAAGATGAAACTAAAAATTCCATTTACTTTCTGCAGGAAATGAGTGTCTGCTCCCTTTGAGCTGGGCCAGAGAAAGCATTCAGAACACATTGCTGGAAGTAAATGGAATTTCTCAGCTATGTAAATTGCAATTCACCCCTGAAAACTCCATTTCATCAAAACTCCAGGTTAATACTGTTCTCTGAGCTCGCATCCCCTCAGCACACAAGCCATGAGATGGGGAGCCCAGGGGAGATCTGCAAGGACAAAGCCCTTTGAAGAGGACTTGGGTGTCACTATTGTGAGTGCTTGCAGTGTAAAAAGGGAAATTCTGGACACGTAACCCAGCAGGCAGGTATTGGGGCAGGAGAGACCGCCCTGCCTGGAGTCGGGGAAGTGGGTCTACCTCAACCAGTGTTGTGTCTTATGAGCAAGTCACAGAATATCTTGGAGTCTTTGGATTCAAATCTCTAATGTGGTTTTAGAGATTTGCCTCTCTCAGGCTATTGTGAGGATGAGATTAGAATAATTTATAAAAAAGTACTAAACAAATGAAAAACAGCTGTGAGTGTCACTTATACCTGGATGCACAAGAACCCATAAGAAAGTCTACGGAAGGCAGGATTCTAAATCAGCTCCCAAGAATCTACCTTCCGGTATGAACACTCTCCCCCAACCCCTTGAGTATGAGCAGTTCCTATGAATATGATACAGCAGTCCCTGTCATTACTAAGCTATGGTGTGTATAAACTACATCTTGGTAGGGTCAGAGATTTGTTTCCCTCCTGGCTTTGATAAAGTAAACTCTCAAGGAATGATAAGACCCTGACATTGACCATTAGAGCTGGGACTGAATGCAGGCTATTGTCCTATAACTCCAAGGAACTGAGCAAGTATGAAAAAGACCCTCGTTTACATTCCTACCAACAGTATGCATGCACATTCATGTTTACTGCAGCACAAACTTACAATAGCTAAGTATGGAAAGAGCCTACAAGTCCATCAACAGATGAATGGAAAATGGAAATATGGTACATATACACAATGAAAGACTACTCAGCAATGGAGAAGGATAAATTTGAGACATCTGTAAGAAAATAGATGCTGAGGTTGTGAAATAAATCAGTCACAGAAGGTTAAATCTTGCTGGTTTTTCTTAAAAGAGAAAATGGAAATATAAATAAATTAATGAGCAAAATAAAAGGTAGACGGCAGGAAACAGGCAGGTGGACTCTGGAGAGATGGGAAGGCAGATTGGGGAAGAAGACAGAGGAGGAGGAGGAAGGGAGAGTGGAGATTACCAAGCTGCAATCTGTCCATGTACAAAGTCCCCAGGATGAATGTAATTATTTTGCTTTGTGAACATACACTAACAAAATAAGAAAGCAAAACAATCCAGAACTCCAAAGTAAAATACAATCCAACCAACTCGTGGGTTTAGCCTTGTAAACCCCTGGTCAATAAGTGCAGTTACTTAGTGCCATGTTTTTTGATTTATAAAAACTGGATGTATTGGTTGGCATTCCTGTTGACAGTGAAAACCCAAATCCACAATTTTAAAAAAGAATGGTTTACTTTGGTCCATTATTTCAGAGGATTCCATCCATGGTCAGCTGACCCCGAAGAAGGGCCATCACGGCAGAAGGGAGTGGCAGAGCAAAGCTGCTTTGTTCATGGTGGCCGCGAAGCAGAGCAGAGGGATGATGCCGAAGAGGATGCTGAGTTAGGTACGGACCCCAGCGTCGCTCTTCCAGGACCCCAGCACCGCTCAGGATGTGTGCCTTCCTCACTACCCCGAAGGCTCCCAAGCCAACCACGTTGGAAATGAAGTTTAAGCGTCACACTGGGTGTATTTTCAGCTGCTGTGTTTGTGGCGATTAATACAGCTATTGGAAAGGAATAGATATCTCTGAAGTGGTATACTAAGGGCCTCTGTGATCCACTAGGGAAAACTGTCAACATCAACTGCTTGAGAACTCTGCAAAGTCACCCAAGGGCACAGTCTCATGGCATGTTACTGTGGTGATAAACTCAGTTATTCAATACAAAGAAGGAAGGATAGAAGGAAGAAGGAAGAAAGAAAGAAAGAAAAGAAGGAAGGAAGGAATGAAAGAAGGAAGCAAGAAAGAAAGAGTAATCAGCCTGGGGGGATGCCTTTCTATGAGGCCTGCATTACCCTGATAATAGAACCAAGCAAGGTCATTAAAACAAAAGAAAAAAATTTCATATGAAAATAGATAAAAAATCCTTCAAAGAAGGATTTTTACACCAGTAAACTCATAAAAAGAATCTCACAACATAAACAAATGAGATTTATTCCAGCAGTGTAAGGTGGGCTCAGCATATAAAAATCAATTAAGGCAACACTTTATACTAATAGAATAAAATATAGAAATTGTATGACTATCAACAAATTTAACACCGGTTCATGATTTAATAATAATAAAAAAAACTAACAAAAAACTAAGAAAAAATTTCATCTTGCACAGCACCGCTATGAAAGACCCCAAGCTAGCATATTGATTAATGCTGGTTTCCATGATGTGGTATGGCCCGGACACAAGGTGCGGTGGATGGAAAGAAAATGAGAGAGAGAGAAAGTGTGGGGTACAGGGTGTGCCCCACAGCCTCTAGGACCGAAGCCTCAGTTACTATTTTCTCTGGCCTTTTATCAGAGTGTTTTCTTTATGAAGAGCAGAAGCAGGGATGAGAGTGGGAAAGCACAGACAAGTGAGGACCTCACTGCTCTGCCGCCCCAGGACCGCTCTGGCTGTGCCTGCCTTCCCCGTTTACTATTCTTTCAGACGCATCTCAGCAAAGCATCGTAGGTTGCCCCAGCGTCATTCCACTGAGACTAACAGCCCTCATTTCCTGCAGCACAATGCATTTGAAAGGCTTTCTCCAGAACAAATTATCATACGGCCTAGTAGAGCACACAGTCCCTGGGGGAACCTCAGGGTAAACTGGTTCCAGTTAATTTATGACCCACAAATTAATTATGAAAAACTGAAAGATTTCCCCAACACTCAGGAATAAAACAAAATCTCCATTCTTGTTACTTTTATCCAATATTATGCTAGAGGTTGCCAGAGCAATTAAACAAGAAACATAAAGACATTTAAATCTAAAAGAAAAATAGAGGCCATGGATATAGCTCAGCACTACAGCTGAACTGGCTTGGGGAGTGCAAGGTCCAGAGTTTGATTCCTGGCACTAAAAAATAAATGGATAGATAAAATAAATGTTATATTAAAAAAGAGAAAGAAAAATTTACTGTTTGCATATACCATAATCATATGTTTGCAAAAATCCTAAGAAATTGAGTAAATACAGTAATACTTTTGTTCACAAACTTAATTTGTTCTGTGATTTTGGAAAAGATGAATGATGTCTGTGCTTGTGTAAGGAAGATGGCCATGGTCGTGTTTGTCACCTGACACAAATTTTGCCAACAAAAGCAAAATTTTGCCAAAGCCTTCTGTTTGCAAACCAAATTATTTGCAAATAAGAGTGTTTGTGAATCAAAATATCCCATATGTATATACATATATATGAACTAATAAATTAGTTTAGAATATATATGAGCTAATATATATATGAATTATATATATATGAACTAATGTATATAAATTATATATATGAACCAATAAATTAGTTTAGAAAGATTTCAAGAAAAGAAATAAATATATAAAAATCAAATATATTATCTAGGTGTGGTGGTATACACCTAAACTCAGAGAATCACAAATCGGAGCCCAAAGTAGGCATAGTGTTGCACGCCTATAATCCTAGCATTCAGGAGGCTGGAGCAGGAGGATTACCGTGCATTTGAGGACAACCTCAAATGCAAGCAAGTGAGGATTTGGGTTTGGGTTTTCACTGTCAACAAGAATGCCGAACTTACCACTTCATAGTGAGTTCAAGTTCAAAATGAACTACATAGTGAGACTTTATCTCAAAACACCAGAAAAAAAAAGTTCAAACTCAGCATGGCTAACTTAGTCCATATAGTGAGAGCCTGTCTCAAAATAAAACAGTTACAAAGGTTTGGGAGTGTAGGTTAGTACAAAGGTTCTGAGTTCAATTCCTTATACCAAAAAGAAAATCAAATAAATTTACATGCAGTTATAACTATCTCAAAAGTAAATTAACAAAATATGTCCTCTGTAATAGCAATCCTATAACAAATGCTCACATTTATGGTGAACTGGTTTTTGTTTTGTTTTGCTGAGACACATTTAGGTCATGTGTCCTAGCAGAAGCCTTCAGCACAGGACCTGTGTGATTGTTCCAGGTCCAAACTCCAACACAGAGTAAGAGAGATAAGCTACCTCCTCCGCTTCCTTCTTTGTGCCTGCACAGGGCATGATCTTAGGCAAGGAATTTAACCTGTCTGGGCCTCCACTGTTTCACTGGGAAGATGGGAATTAAAGCAGTACCTATATCACAGAGTTGTCATGAAGATTAACTAATTAAGTCCATGCAAAATGCTTAAAATATCCCCAGGCACACAGCAAACACACAATAAAATATCATTACTGATAGGTTTTTAGCCACATAAATCTGCCAGTCTTCATGGTGGAGATCCAACATGGAGAGGAGACCATGAAAAGACACCTGATCAGTCTTCCTCCTCTGGTGCTGCAGACCCAGAATAGACTTCCTGCCTTTCCTTCTCATGGGCAACAGAGGCTCTGGAGCCTAGATAAAACATCATTCCTGCTCCTCCCAGCTAGTTTAGCACCACCCCAGTGAGAGTTAATATAAGCAGCCCCAGACCTTTGTCTAGCAGGAGAGCCTCTGCTTTCCTCCGCAGCCATTCCCGGGCCCTCTTAAAGGCCTCTTCATCTTTCTTCTCCTTCTTATCTCTCCTGCACCCACTTCAGATTGAGTGCCCAAAATACTCAATTACTGTATTATAATTTCATTTGTCTGCAAAGAAGGACAACTAACTGTCTAACTTAAGGAAAAAAAACCAGAGTCTGCTACTAATTGTTCTGTGAGAGACGAAGAGGGCATTAGAGGGAGAAAGGCCAGTCTGTACACTTTACCCTTTCTGCACATCTGGAAACAACCCAAGCCCAAGATGATCATCAGCCGTCTCTGAGCCTCTCCTTCTCACATGGGAAGCACAGCCCATGTGGCAGCTGAGTGCTTTCTTCTGTTTCTAGGCAGGGCTATATTTCAGCCAGACATGGGTGTGACTCATAACTATCTCCACACCAATTGGTTAATATCGGCTTCAGCAGTGCAGGAATCAGCTGCTTCTGTGCCAGGTGCCTGCAGGTGCTGAATCTTAGTGACCCTGTCTGGTTTGTCCCCTGTCCAGCAGTCCAGGTCATTAAATATTTTATCTCTCACTAACGGTATCATGCACTGAACTTTCCTGAGTTGAAGTAGCTCCTCAAAGTAATTATTCTCATTTTCCAAGTGACAAAGCAGAAGTTATTTATTACAACACTTGTGCTGTACCACAAAGTTTATAAGACAAGTTTGTGTGGTTCTCTGGCTATGTTCCTTTCATGTGCGTCTCTGCTTTCACTGGTGATCCCTCTCTTTCTTAGGGTTAGGGTTAGGTTAGGAGCAGGGTTAGAGTTAGGGTTGGGGTTAAGATTACCACTTTCATTGGTGACCTTCACTTTCTTAAAATAATTGTTTTTCTGTGTCAAAAACTCATTTTCCAAAATTTTCTTCTACCAACTTGATGGTTCTGGCTTTTCTCAACTAGTTTAACAGTTTCCAGAGAAGAGCCGAGTAACCAATCCCATGAATAATTAACAAAACAGATTCTATGTGACCACTGAAGTCAATCATTTGCACTGGAAAACAGCAAGAAAATGACAAGGGAAATAAATCAGCACTTTCAATGCCTGGATAGGAAGAAAAGGATCTTCCTAAATTCCATTTCTCCCCTCACAGGTAACATCTCCTGCCCAAGGGTACCAGGCTTAGGAAGAAATTTTTGAATCCACAACAACTGGAAATGGTTTTGGAAATCAGTACAGTTTAATTATTAGCTATGTGACCTTGGCCAGAACTACCTAATTGCCTCCTGACTTCTTTCTCGTTTGTAAACAAGGGAAATGGTGTTTATAGTGACTAAACTAACATTCAGCAATGATAGGAACGTTGTGCAGGCATTCTCCCCAGTCAGAAGACTGTGTACAACTGCAACTGGGGGCCAAGCTCTGCAGCATGTACCAGTCAGTCAGGGGAGAGGCCAAGTGGCCAAGGAGCTGGGGTGCAATGGGGAAGTGGGGTGTGGGTCAGCGAAGCAACAGTTACTGCCAGTAACTGTGCAAGTGTAGTGACAAAGTACCATTGTGATAATGATGACAGGCTAACCACAGGTCCTTAAAAGTGGGTTTGGCTTTCTAGGGGCATCTACTCTGTATTTGCCACTGGGGTGTCTTAGCCTGTTAGGGTTATGCTAGGGTTTGCATTTTGTTTGTTCCCAAAGATGCACGTATTTGAAATTTGGCTCCAGAATGGTGGCATTGGGAAGTGATTTAGAATCTTTATGTCACTAGCGGGAAGTTCCTTGTGAATTGGGAGGGGGGCAGAATGTCTTTGCAAGGACTGTGGGACCCCACCCAGTGCCTGGCCTCCCTATTTCATGTTTTCTTATTCACATACTCTTCCACCATGACGGGACACACCAAAAAGTTCCTCTGCAGGGCTGAGCCGATCGATGCCAGTATCATGCCTGTTAACATCCAAACCATGAAATAAATTTATTTCCTTGATCATGTTAGCCTGCCTCTAGTATTTCATTATAACAAAGAAAAATGCACTAACATATGCAGCTATAGTAAATTACTGTAGCTTGGGCAGCTTATAGAAAAATACAAACTTGTGTCTCACAGATTTGCAGCCTGGAAATCCGATACTGGGGCACTGGTATCATCAGGTTCTGATGAGCACCTTCTCTGAGTAAGATTGTTGTCTTCTAGTTTCACTTCTAAAGGGGGGAAAGGAAGGCAAGAATGCTCTCTGGAGTTTACTTTAGGAATGCACCCACATTGATGATGGCTGCACCCCCATGAGCTAACAGCCTTCCAGAGGTCCCACCTTCTAACACCATACTATGCGCGCTCAGATCTCATTACAGGAATTTGAAGGAAACATAGCATTCAATGTTTTGCAGGTACTAGATTCTTTTTCTTAAACGCTTCTGTCTAATCTTCACAAGTTAGGAGGTGTTACTAAAGGCCTTTTTCTTTCCAGATGAAGAAATTTTATTTCCAAAAGTTATAGTCATCAGTGATTTCTGGAACAATCATTTAAATGTACTCAAACAATAGAACAGCCACGCTTTAACCACAGTGTGAGAGCCAAAATTGAACTTAAGAACATGGGTGGAAAGATATAATAAAGTACTGGGTGATAGGACAATTCAAAGGAGAAATAAAAATGTCACTAGATTTATAAGAGTGACATTAAAACCATTTATCCTGGCATGGGGATATAGCTCAGCAGAACAGTATTTGCTTTGAGTTTGATGCTCACCACTGAAAAGAAAAAAAATTTTCCCACCTGCATATTTACAAATGGAATAGAATTTTAACACAAGATAAATTGGTGCTGAGCATGGTAGCACCTGTAATCCCATCTTACTCGGGAGACTGAGGCAGGAGGATGACTGTGAGTTCCAGGCCAGTCTGAACTACATAGTGAGATCCTGTCTCAAAAATAAACAAAACAAAACAAACAAAAGAGACAAACTGGCAGAAAGTATATAAACATTCTTTGCATTGTGCTTATCCAAGCAAGCTTGCAATGAAGTAAAAGGTTGAAAATCACAGTCCTTTGCCAATAAGAATCTACCTTACGCAGCTTTCTGTCACTGTAACAACATACCTGAGGAAATCAACTTTAAAAAGGAGAGTTTATTTTGGCTCACCGTTTCAGAGTCCCCAGTCTAAGATCAGTTGGCCCTGTTACTTTGGACCTGTGCTTAGGTAGGGTATTCTAGGAGGAAATATATGGTAGAACAAGCTGCTGCCTCATGATTGGCAGGAAGAAAATGGAAAGACTGAACAGCTGGGGTCCCAAATAGCTCCTTCCAAGGGATGTCCTCCATGACAAAAACATCTCGGGAGGCCCCCACCTCTTGAGGTTTCCACTGCCTCCCAATGGAATCAAGCTGGAGACGGTATCATTCAACACATGGACCTGAGGGACTTCAGGTGTCAACTGGAGCAGGTTCCGAGCCCTCTGTCATTCTCAGTTGGATGGTCAAGTCTCTTGCCCTCATCAACCCTTTTTTCAGAGTGATAGGCGTTACTGAAGAAGATCCAAGGCAAACATCCACCTCTGTAACTGAGCAGCAGTACAGGAACGCGAAGGGAGGCCTTTGGGGTCACGTGACCATGGGCATGTTAAGGATGAGAACGGGAGCCATTGCTAAAGGTACCTGCGGTGCCTGTGGAGTGTGAGCCGGGACCAGGTGAGTGGGAACCGAAGGCTGGTGGGTCCCTTCCACAGCTGGGTGGCTGACCTCGTACAAATCATAACTTAGCAGTAATGTCCCAGGTTATGCTGACGCTTAAAGGAAATAGCATTCAGAAAGAATAGCATTCATGGAGATAATGAAAGGGCCAAATGTTATAGGTGACTGAGTTAGATCAAATACAGACAATCAGACAGGGCTGGACCCTCAAACAAGCCAGTGCAGAAAACCAGGTACCTTGCAAATGTGGGGGACACAGACACCTCCCACTGTGGACCAGACCTCAAGACAAAAGAGAAAACAAAGGCACCCACACACTTCCTCAGGATAAACATCAGAGATTGATATTCTAAGTAGATAACAAAGCACCTTGAGGAAGCCAAGAGGAGCCACTAACATAACCCCCTACATGGAAAGGCCCTGTTTTGTGTTCATGCCCTGTTGCTATGTGTCTGGTTTCCCCAACTGATCCTGATTTAATCCATTTTACCTGAGCAATTACACTCATGGCCTTGTGGGTGGGCCATAGTTCTGTCCCACCTCACGCCCACCTTGGGATTTCCGATTTTTCCCCATCTTGGACCCGACTCAACCTTGGGGTTTTGCTCTATAAAAATCCCTAGAAAACACAGGGTTATTTACTGCCCTCTCAGGACCCCTTCTGTCTCTCTTCCAGACAGCTTTGTTTCTCTCCATAAATATATTCTGCTCTTAACCTCCATTGTCTCTAAAATTCATTCTTTGAGTTTAGAGAACACAAACTCACATCTAGAAGGTTGGGGGTTTCTTTCCCCTGTATCAGTGTGATAACCAGTGAAACTTAAAAAGATATGCCTCAGTTTAACAGTGAGCATTACCATTATTACTGAGGTGGCCCATCAAGTTCTCCCTGTAACCACATCTTTCAGAGCAATGGGTGGTAGGTCTGTACTACTCCCTCTTAATCTGCTTTTTCCAACAAGCACAAAACTATTGAAGCAGCAGCTACAGTTTCTGAACAGAGTCAGTGTTTCCCTAGGCCTATGAACACCAGGCGCCTGGTGGATATCTACGGTTGACATTGTGCACTCCCTTCATTCATGGGGTCCCCCAAATTGCCTCATCACAGCATCAACTTGTGCTCTCTCAAGATACTTTCCTCCCCATCTTTCCGTTTTTAAGGCATAAATCATCCTGTATTCTTTTATTTCCTCCACTCCGGGGCCTCCCCCTGCTGAGAGAATACCTCTCAAATCTGTAGACTTTATTGCTCTACATCAAGATATTATTAACTCTAGAAATACTAGAAAGCCCTCTCTTTTCTGCTCTTATTACTCCTCTGCTAATATTCCTATTTCAAACACAGCAACCAGAGTGAACTTCTAAATCACAGATCAAATTAAGTCTCATCTCTTGCTTAAAACCTTTTCATAAATTTCCATTATAGTGGAGTTAAATTAAACTATGCTCCTGTATATATGTGGCTCCAGGTATGTTCATGCACTGACAAATGAAGTCAAAGAGAAACAAAACAAGTAGCAACCTCTGTTCTCAGGGAGATACCTCTTCAGTGCACTGGCCTGTTCCTTCAACCCGACTCCCAGACTTCCTGTTCCGGTCCACATAGTGGTGTTTACAAAAGCGCCTGTAATCCTGGGTAGAGGAGACCTTATTTGATTGTAGGAGAGAAAGTAATAACAATGTTTCATCCAGTGTGTTGCTAACACACTCATTGTTGACTCTGAAATTTTCTTATCCAGTCTCACTACAAAGAACAATTGTTTACAATGATGCGAGTTGATTCCTGACCCCGCGGTGTGAACCGCAGTGTGGAAACATTGCTCTAATGAGGTCTCCAGCTCCTGATGCTGCGACTG